CTATCAAAAAATTTTTTGAATATCTTTTATTTTTAAACTGTTATATCTATTTAAATTTATATATGATGAATACACCAATTCTAAAATACCAACCAATATAGCCGTAAGTTGGAAATAATATTGTTATACAAAACTCAATTAGAAGTAGCTTGTCTAGATCTATACCAATTTGGGAAGTACATAAATAGATATACTGTATATATACTCAAACAATAAGTCTACTACTGAAAAGGTATAAAGATTGGCGAGATGATTAGAAAAGCGATCTGAGGACTATCTAAAGTAGGATCCTATGTATAGATAGGTGTGTACACCAAATTGGAAGGATCAGAAGAATCTGAAGAATCAGAAGAACTTCGGACAACTCTTTATATAGAAACAAATAATAGGAAGTTCGTTTTGTGTAATTTGATCTATGGAATGGTAAGCCTCTTTTGTTTCTTTTTGTTTATATTTGTCTTGTGATAATAGATTTTTTTAATCAATTTCAAACTTCAACATAAGCACGAGCAACAAAATTTAAATGTTACTTTATCGGAAGGAGAGGATGTTAAATTATATTCTGTGGGACACAAGTAAGATTCAAACATAAATATTTGTGTTTAAATACGTGATTAGCTCCTAACAAAATGTTAACAACCATAGCAAAATACATTTGACGGGAAATTACATAAAATTAATTGGCCATGATGATTCAGAAAATAGACCTAAAGAACTTCCTTTGCCAATAAAATGTAAACCGAATGATGAAATGGATGTGAAGAAGGTGTTCAATGTTAGTAACGAAACGCCCAAATTATCAGCATCAGAGGTAAATAGGATTCCAATAATTATAATAATTATTCATTTCGTAATATTACATACAGCATTATATAACGAATTATTTTATACAGAAGAAAAATGCAATAACCAACGCGGATGATTCAGACGAAACCGTTAGTGAGGAAGGCGGCTCCTCGGATCAGGCAATAGTCAAAAATAAAGTTAAAGGTGAAAATGGTAAATCTCAGAAAAGGACAAATGACGATGACAAAGATAAACAAAAAACACAACAAACATCCGCAGCAAAAAAACAAAAGACTGAAAATGGGTCAATCGAAACTAAGAGTGCAGATGTGTCATCAAAGGCACAAAACAAGGTTTGACAATTTTTTCCAGTTTATTGTGTAATTTTTTAATTAATCCTAATTGGGTTATAATTGCACAGAAGAAAAATAAAAACAAGAAAAAACTCTTAGACAGTAAAGCCGAAACTTTAGCAAAAACTTTAGAGCCCGAAAAATCGAAAATCGAAGGCGACAATAAAAATGGTAAAACCGAAGCTTTAACAAAAACCTTAGAACTTGCAAAACCGAAAACCGAAGGCAACAATAAAAATGCAGAGTCAAAAGATAAAGACTTAAAGTTAGACTCTGATTCCAAAGAGAAGGTAAAATAAATTTAGGTCTCTTTTGAGTAAAATTTATTATTAACTGTTTTATAATTCTTAGGGAATCATCACAACTCCTGAAGGTGTTCAAATCGAAGATCTCACAATAGGTGTTGGAAGGGTTGCGAAACTCGGCAAGAAGGTAATGAGCGTTAGTTGAATATTTTAAATTTTTAAATTATTTTAACAAATTTCAAATATTTTCTAGCTTCAAGTCCGATACATCGGACGACTACACATGAATGGTAAAGTTTTTGATAAAAATGTCAGCGGAACACCATTCCACTTCACTTTGGGTAAAGGTGAAGTCATTAAAGGTACTATCCTATTAATATCTTTATCATTGATTTCCTTTAATTTAATAATGTTATCTAAAATTATTGATTAGGTTGGGAAATTGGAATTTCTGGTATGCGAATTGGTGGCGAACGAAAAATAACAATTCCACCGCAACAAGCTTATGGTAGTGCTGGAAGCCCACCAAGTTAGTTCATTTAATCTACCACGTTGACTCTTAAATGTATATAATATAATGGCAGTTTAATTAAGCTCTTTTATTAACTATAGTTATACCAAAGAATGCTACTCTCGTGTTCACGGTACTGTTAATCAAATTGTCTTCAAATGCTATTGGTGTAATTCCTAATTTGTCTTTTATATTGTATTCAGATCAAATTACTGGATGTAAAATGAAAAAGTGCATGGTACGTATAAAATAGATTAATATTTTCTTGCAGAGTGAATTTATGCAATTATTTATCACTATTTATAATGTGCTGCGGAAATTGTGTCGAACATTTCTTTTTTTTTTTTTTTTTTTTTTTTAGTCTTTGTAAATCTCACTAAAGAATACATCTATACTCAGGAATATTATTTAAAAAAAGGTTATTTAATTTAGTCGTTTGCTAGCAACTGAACAAGTTATTTATATTATGGATTCTATTAGTACTATATTGACTATTTCTCCGCAATTTCGAACAAATAAAGCAAATTTTATTTAGTAATGAAACATTGGATGTAAAATTCGTGATTTTTAAAAAGGTATTGCGAAAGAAAGGAAGTTTGTTACAACCGATAAATCATTTATCGTGTCAGTTTATTTTATTGCTGCTTGCAATCTGGTCGCTCTAATAACCAAGAATTTGCATAAGTACGTGAAATCAATCTCATCACAAATTAACAAGATAAAATAATTAGACGTAATATTTACCCACCTCCCCATTCCTTCCGCCGGCCTGTAATAGTTGAAAGGTAGAGAAACAAATATTATGGATTAAATAATAAGATACATGTCAATTTAGGTAAAATGAAAATCAAAAGGATAGTAAACGTTAAGAAATAAGCTAAAGTAACAGTATGATAAAGTGTAAAGTGATATAAAAAATAACTTTACAGTTCGTAATGACCTTATTAACAATATTCATGTTATAATAACTATTCTAAGCTAACCATTAAAAATAATATAAATATATAATGAAACCAATAGATAATCTAAAATTTAAACTAATATTTTCTGGAATAAATAAATAAAAATATCTCCCAAAGCAGCCCTAATTTGTTCGTGGTTTTAACCTATTTTCAACTAAGCGCCCTTCAAATTGAGGTATTTTCAGATACTTACTAAATGTCACCACGAACGTTTGGTAGAATAAAATAAAAAAACTTTACAAGATTGTTAGAGATGTCCTAAGACATTTACTCCTTCATCGTCACCATCGTCGTCTTCATCGTCAATTTCTTCATCATCGTCATCGTCCTCATCATATATGAAATCATCGTCACCGTAATCATCGTCATATTCTTCATACTCTAAAGCCTTACCAGTGTACCAATCAATGGCGCGAGGAATAAGTTTTTCTTTTATATCTTCACCAATTTGATAATCCAATTCAAGACGTGAATCCAAGTCATCATCGTCTTCTTCACAATCTGGCGGAGGCGGATTGAAAAATTGAAAGAATGATGCGGCAGGTACGGTAGTCCTTACCACACGAGTTTTGTTGGTACCTACAAATATAATACTAATTGTAAACTATATATGTGCATGCAAAAAGAAAAAGAAAAAAAAAGAATTATTTCAATGCATAGATGCCTTTATGTTTTTGTCTTTTCGTTTCCACCGTGATAGTCAAGTCCATGCCATCTTTCCAGT